TGTGGAGAATATACTGAATGGGGTAAGGGTAGGAGCGGGAAAACCATTTTAAGCAGCTAATGCAATAATCCAGGTGAGAGATAATGATGGGTCTGAACAGGGTGGCAGCACTGGGATGGGGAAAAGTGGTCAGATTCTGGGTGCACTTGGAAGATAGAGCCAGCAAAATTCCCTGATGGATTAGATGGAGGATATAAGAAAAGGAAAAGTCTAGGATGACTCCAAGGTTTTTAGCCAATTTAAAGAGCAATATCTAAAAATTCACATTAGATCCAAAGTCTCACAAATCTGTTTAACATGGAAAGGTTTGTATAATGTTTAATGAAAAGATTGTTTAATGAAAAGACAGATTATAAACCAGTTTAGAATCCCATTTGGGGATGGGGGGTAGGGTTAAAATAAAATACATGTGGCATTGGCTGGCTGGTTAGCTCATTTGGTTAGAGCGTGGTGCCGATTACACTAAGGTCCAGGTTAAATCCCTGTACTGTCCAGCTGCAAAAAAAAGAAAAAAAAGTGTGGCATATAAATAAGTAAAAAGATAATGTGTGCCAAAATGTTAAATGGTTACCCATAGGTAGTGGGATTGTGAGTGGGTCTTTTTTCTTTTTAACTGCCTGTTTTTGACCCTTTTTCTGCAATGAGCATATAGTTATATACAAAGAAAAAGTTCAAAGTATTCTCAAGCTAAAAAGTTGTTTGCAAAAGTGTATATATTTGCTGAGTTTCTGATCTTTTAAAAACCCAGTTTGAGAAGTTAACACATTCACATAGTTCGAAAATCAAGGGCAAGCCGATTAGCTTATTTGGTTAGAGGGTGGAACTGATAACACCAAGATCAAGATCCCCATACTGGCTACTGCCAAAAAAAAAAAAAAAATCAGAGGGAACACCAGGGGCTGAAGGGAGAGGGGAAAGAGAAATTATTTAATGGGTATACAGTTTCAGATTTGCAAGATGGAAATTTTTGGAGATCTGTTTCCCAACAATGTGAATATACTTAATACTACTGAACTGTACACTTAAATATGGTTAAGATAAGTTTTTTGTTATGTGTT